AATTTTTTTTCTTAAAACATGGCTAGATCGATTTGGTTTTTCATGCTGATCAAGAATATATATGATTTATAGGATCGGAAATGATTCCTTCACTGTGTTTTAAGCTTCTGACTGAAATTATAATACCCTGCTAGGGTATAAATATAAATATTTATTTATGAAACATTTTACACTCTTGAATTTAATTGCAACAAACCCTTTTTATGCTTGACAAGCAATTCTAATAAAAACTCTTTCTTTTCTCTTACAGCTTTAAAAAAAAACAAAAGGAAATCAAAAGCAATTTGAAAAGAAAATATTTACAAGAAACATTTGAAGCTTTGGGGTGAGTGCTATATGATTATAATTTATTAAGATGTTCTGTATATTCCTTAAACCTTTTTATATTTATTTGAAAATGAAGAATTTAAAGTAAAATTAATTCACAAGCTCTTGAAAATGAGATAAATCATTGCTCATCTCTGAACTGCTGTCGGTACCTTGGGTTTTGTTGGTCCAAAAACTTGAATCAAAACTTGTGTTCCTTGGCAATTACCGCGACAAAAAGTCTGTTAAAGTGCACATCCCCCGACTCTAACCTTTCACTTTACTTTACCCTCTACTCTGCCGGGTCTACCCTACATGCTACCCTCTACCCTCCACACTTTGCTCTTCGGGGGAAGCGCTGTTCACCTCTAATTAAGCGATGCGAAGCGTTTTAAGCTGGCACGCGGGATCGGGTTGGGGGAAGAGATGCAATGCATCATTAATGCACACACACACACACACGTGGTGTGTCTGCGCACACACACTTACACTGGGAAACTTAATGATAACGAAGGTTTTAAATTATACATTTTAATAGGGCATAAACTAAAACGGAAACATTAAAATGCACAAGGAAAACTATAAGTGTGAGCTCAAACTTGTATGTTTATAAGTTTGAAATATCATGAAGAAGTAAATACACTCTCCTTCAAATGATGAGTATTACTTAAGCTTTAAAAATAAAAGCAAGGGAATTTGTAAAAATAAAAGAAATTCTATAATAAGATTACATAAAAATAAGTACAAATAAATCTTGCTTATGGCGGCTTAAAATCTCCCAAGTCCTTTAGCCTTCAGCCTTTCCTCATGATGATCTAGCTGCCTTCATTTCCTTTTGAATTAAAATGGCGAATTTAAGGAGATAATTTCGGGGTTTTACATCTCATATTCCTCTGTGTGTAGGGACACACACTCACTCTCTCTCTCTCTTCAAATGCCTGGCGAAATGCGCGTGTCCTCAGCGCCGCGAATGGGCTATGAATGGGGAGGAAACAGGAACGGGTTGGGAAAATGGAAATGGTTTTGGGAGATGGGAGATGGGGGGAAAATGGTGAAAAAAATATGCCAGCTAATAGCTCCTTTTATGCTCCACTTGAGTTCCTGGCTTTTTCGTGGGTTCAAAGCCCCAGCACGTAGCCGGCATAAAATGTTTCGGCCGTGATTATAACGAGAGGAGGGTCGCCGAGGAGGAGACTCACTCGTAATTTCATTAAAATTTTATTAGCTCGATATGGGGGCGAGGCACCGGCGAGGAGTCTCCAGTTTTGATTTGGGCAAATGAAATTATCACCTATGCGAAGCTATGAACATAAAACCAGACAGCGAACACAGTGCTCTTACTTTTAAGTATTCTGCAATGAAAAGGCGTCTAATTCTGCAGAAGAACAGGTGGGGAAGCCACTCCAAGTTGCAGTGTGTGAGAGTCCAGGGTTTTGCATTTTGGCCAAGAGGCTTTTAATTTCCATTTTTGCTATTAATTTCAACCTCAAAGGTTACAAAGGCGCCGGCTGGTGGTGGGTTTGAGGGAGGGTTGTTGAGGTGGCAAGGTGGAAAGGCGGAAAGGCGGAAAGGTCGTATCACTGCCACACAACAAAGCCGCAAAGCTGCCTTGGCTTTGCTTAATCCGAACACTCGCACACACACACATACGCAGCTAGATCCCAAGCACTAATACGGGGGACACTGTGAGAAAAACATGGGATTTGGTATCTTAAACTCATAGTTAACTAGCTTAATTTCAAGTTGAAGTAAATATTCATTCTACTCGGAATGAGACTACAAAACTAAATGAACTTTATAATGTTTAGAAACTGTTGTTATATATTTCCTCTTCTCATTTACAACTTTTGCTTCTAATTTTATTTAGTTGAATAAATTCTGCCTGTGTTGTGTGTGTGCCAGCCGCCTTTATGTTTTCTTGATTGAGTTTCACCTTTTGCATATGAAATTCAATTTAATCAGTTTGCCAGCTCACGATGGCCCCAGCATCCTGACAGCCACAAACACACACACACAATGCAGCCAATAATAATGAAGTCCTTTTGTTGTTCGACATTTTCCAACAAGGGCACACACACACACTTTTTGCTTACTGGCTACGCAACAATTTTCATGACGGAGGCCAAACCTCAATAATGTTTTCACTTGGAAATCAATAAATACAAATAACATATATTTGATGAGGGAAGACTGGGGGGGGGAGAGAGGCGGGTGCCTTCCGGATGCGGGAGGATGCGAAAAAACCAGAGGCAGAGCCGACTCTCTTGATGGCCATAAACTGGCAAATTGTATGCAAATAAAAAAGGAAGCTGAGCCGCAGCATTGCCGCAGGACCCACTGTGCCACAGCAAGTGGAAATGTGGAAAAACAAGAAGCTGAAGCAATGGAAATGCTGATGCTGCAAGCCGCTGAAAGGAAGCTCCATAAAACAACGCAAGAGTCCTGCTTCGGGGGGAAAAGGGGAAAAACTTGCTCCCTGACAACTTTTTATTAACTCTTTGGCTCGTTGGCTTTCTCTCAGCTTGGCTCTGCCTGACCGCAGCTGCCTTCGACTTTGAGCTTGGGTTTCCCCAATGTCCTTTGGCGCCAATTGGCAAAAACCCAAAGGCACACACAGAAAAAGGGACACCACCAGGGACAAAGAGGACAACAAGTTGTTGTCCTGCCTTGGTCGTTGCCCAAGTTGCCAGATGCAAATCGTCCTGCGGAATGAGGAACGAGGAGTTCTAAATGATGAACCCTTGGCGGCGGGAATAGTAAATCGAAAAGGATATCCTAAAAGAGAAAGATTTAAGGACTATCGAGAGATGCTTCTTGAATTTTAAATAGTTTTATTTGGGTATCAAACTATTTATCTGTAATAAAAAAGCGAAATTACAACTAGGCTACTTGACTTGTTTACCTCATTTAAATGTGTAATTATTGGTATATTAGGAATTTCAATTAAAATGTTATTTACTATTTAATTAAGTGCATATCTATGCAAACTTTTTTGACTCTCTGTTAGATATGGAAATCGAAATCTAAATAGAAACGCAAATATAAATTTAAATAAATATAAAAAGTGATTGAAATTTACATAGAAATCCCTTACACTCAGCTGAAATTCAAGTAAAATAATAAAACAAAAACCCTGCATTAATTTTTATGAGAATAAATGCCTCCTCTTCCTCCATCCAATCAAAGCATAACTTATTAGCTTGGCCAAAGTCCAATTTGAGGCAATTTTCTCAGTCTAATAAATGCTCGTAGTCGAACTCAAACGAATCCCAATGATCATGGGAAACTTGGCCCCGGACTTATTGTTTTCCTCATTTGGCGACTGCTTGTTGGCATCCCAACCTCCTGTTTCCTCCTGGACAATGAGGTCAAAGTGGAGGAGCTGCGGCGGTGATTGCGGCACCAAACAATTGTATTGATTTAGGCCCAAGAAGCAGCTCTCTCGGACATATGTTACACATGCCGCAGGCGTGGTCATGTCCTGGCTGCAGGACATTCAACTAAGAGGCTCTGACTTTAATATGGCAAAGTCCGGGAAAGAGACAAGAGCGTCCTGTCTGCCGCCCCAGTTTAATCGCATTTTGGCTCATTTAGCGGCAAATTGAATTTGCCAGAGAGACGAAGAGACCTCGTTGACAGCGCCAAAAATGAGAAATTCAATTAAAATTACATTTTTAAAGCATCAGAGCTTGCTGTTTGCCTTTAAACGGATTTTCTGTTACCAATTTCAGGCTTTAATTCGGGGGGAACTGTCTGAATAAATAGGCAAAAATAATTGAGGGGCTGGTGCCATCATTCCATCATTTCATCCATTTAGTAAGGAATCCCCATCACAAACTCCACTCCATCCTCTTTACCAGAGATAAGCGACTCCTCCCTACATTTTTACGCCTGGCAACATTTTTTTCGCTTGACTTCCGATTCTCACCCCTCTCCGCTTGGGATTAGCTCTGGGTCTCTCTCGTCATGGTCATTGGCAGGGGTTCGAATTGGCATTTAGTTCGGTTTTCGGGTGGAGTTTTGGGGAGGAGCCAAGGGATCAAGGGATGGAGCAAAAGGCTTGGGGGCGATAATTATGCCAAGTCCAAGACCCGAAGATGATTTATGAGGTTCGAACTGGTGGCGAGTTCATCGCTCGCTAATTTATTACAGAGACTGCCTGCCGTAAGGAATAGTATTCCCAGACTCTCAGGAGTTGATATTTTGCTTCTTTGAATATAAATAAAATAACATCACTATTGTTTCAGATTCAACTTAAATTAGAAAACTGTAGAAACTACATTTTCCCATCATACTTTTCGGTACATAACAACCTGTTGGCCAACTTTAATACGAATCGTAGCAAATTAAAGCCAACACAAACAGAAACCACTAATAATAAACAAATGTACAGGCAAGACATCTGTTTCTTAAGAACTCTTGAGGACAGCTCAATTAATGATTAGTCAACAAGAAGCTCTTTTCAAGACCACAAGCTTTAAACACTCTTTGTTTTTCCAAAAATAAAAAAAACATAGAACTCAACGTCACAGACACAGCTGTTTTCCCATCGAGGGGATTTCTTTGGAAAAAAAAACTGGGGGAAAAACTCTGTAGAGTGGCGACTATAAAAAGGCCTTGACTGGGGGGAAAATGGCATCACAACCAGACAGACTTCCCACTGAGCAGCTCCCAGAAAAACTAAAAATCTAAAAATGCGTTGCTTCCTTCTGATTGCCTTCTTCGCTCTGATGATCGTCCTGGTGGCCGCCAAGGCAGGACCTCAGCATGGTCAGCATGGAGGAGTTAAGCATGAGGGACCTCAGCAGGGAGGATCGAAGCCGGGATTGCCTCTGAATGGCACCCTTCCCGCATTGAATGGCACCACCCCCACCACCGCCAATGAGACAACCACTGAGGGCAGCACCACCGAGGGCACCACCACCACTGTGGCCGCTTCCACCTAGGCTTTGTTTCACAGCTTTTGGGCTTATAATTATTTATTTATTTGCTTGATTTTCTATATTAACCTGGATATTAATAAACGCAGACTGCATGAAGTAATAGAATTGGCAGCTTGAAACATAAAAATATAGTTCCTACTTTATTTTAAGCTTGACTTTTAGGGAAAATTAAGAATTTCCCAGCTAATGCTTCTGCAAATAACTTGATTCTGCTTCGCTAATTCCCCCCTAAATAGTTTTTCCCCGCTTTTCGTTTGAGCAGCAATTGACGCCAGAAAGTATGCAACACTTTCTGTGGCATCCTCTAGAGCCGCTTCCGTCGCCACTTAAAAGCAAGTCCCAAGAATGCAACTCACTATCCATCCCTAGGGGGATGTGGGGGAGAGGAAATTGCCAGTGAAAGAGAGTCCTGCGACAAGGAGCAAGCAGAGTGAAAACGAGGCAAAACGCACATGTGCGGTGGCTCATGAAATGCTCCTGCTCCTGCTCATCCTGCGCAGCGAAGCGGCCACTTTCAGTGCACTGAAGGGGATGATGTGGTGGAAAAAAGGGGGGCCTGAGCAGCAAAATGATCAATTGATTTGCATTTCCCAGTCCGCGAAGAGCGAAGAGCAGAGTCCAGAGTCCGCAGAGTGCAGAGTGCAGAGTACAAAGGCGCTTTAAGCCCCCAAACTCTGCCACTGAAAAGTGGACGCTGCGGCAGGGCTTAACCCCCATTTTGAGTTTGAGGTTTAAATGCTTAACCCAAGGAGGTCTACAAACCTAAGGAGTTTCTAAACAGATGATAAATTCTATATAGTTAATATAATAAGTTTTACTATGAAAAGTATAGAAAACTTATAGGATTATGCTATAAATGAATGTATTATTAAGATATAATATATAATATAAAAGATATAGGGGTTAATTTTGCATATAACCATACCTTCTTTTAACTCTTACGGCATTTAAACTCTATTTTTTATTAGACTATTTTTCTACACAGATTTGTTATTTCAATTTCCCATCATGGAGCCTTGATTTATTTCATGATTTTTGCCTATGATCTGTGGTGGGGCCACAGGTGGGTTAAGCTGCCAGCTGCCGCATGAGTGAAAGAGGAGCAAGTGGAGGCCAAACAGCTCGCTGGGGAACTGTAAATCACGTCGAGCGCAGAGCGCAAATTGGTTAGTGAAACACATGAACCCAGCCAGCCAGTCAGCGAACATTCATCTCTCGGTTCAAGGGGGGAGGGGAGGGGTTTGAGGGATTCGAAGGATGCAGGAGGACCTCCTCCTCCTCCACCTCCTACACACACACACATGGCTGGCCTGGCAGACTAAATTCGCGCTTTTGAAAAATGAAAGCAGTTGCAAAAGTACAGAAAACACACAGCACACACACACCCAGAGATACCAAAGTAGCAAATGTAATCTGTTGAGCAAGCTCAGAGAAAAGGCAGAGGGTCCCCCTCTGGAAAGCTGGAAAAGGCAAGGAAGGAGAGCAGGTAGAGGAGCTGGGAAAATCATATTATCCTTACAGGGAATTAGTTGCCCAGAGAGCGAGACAGAGAAAAGAAATTGCATATGAAAAACACCAAAGAATTATTGGAGCAATCTCCGGACAAGGTATATCTCATTTTTATGCTCAACCTAATGCCACGCTTGCCCCTTAAATCGTGCGATTATATATCCAACTATATTAACCCCACACTTGTGAAGGAAACTCGGGCTAAAACTATATTATTTTCCTGTGCATCCAGCAGGAAGTTACTCTCCCTGAACTTAACTCAACTCAACTCAAGTCAAGACATCCTTTGGCCTGAGCCTGTGTCCTACCTTCCGCATGTATTTTAGTTGCACAAATTGAAAGGAAAACACATCCTGGCTTCCGCCTGCAGGAGCAAAAGCTTCCTCCTGGCTGCAGGATGAGCAAAAGCGTCGCTGAAATGCAGCAAATGAAATTTTACCAAGGCCATTGAAGCCGCTGCGGATCGAAGTGAAATTGAAAAAATAATCATAAATATTGCATGCAGAGCTCAGCTTGGCTCTCAGTTTTTCATTTTTCTTTTTTTCCCCCTGATTTTTTCTGGCTTTTTCTGCTTTTTCTGCCGATTAAGCGACGCAAAGTGAATGCAGGCAGAAGCGCCGCTCGCCGGTTAAGTATACGCCGCGTGGGCTCCACAAAAGCTGAGCCCCAAAATGCGCACAAGCCGCTTCATGTCATCCCCAGCTCAGTTCCGGATGGAAATGAGGTGGCTTTTGGCAGGAAAAGCGGCGGGAAAGTCTGAGGAGGAGGAGGAGCAGCATCATCCCAGCCATATTTACATGGCACTCCACTTTCTATGGCGCCGCCGGCAAGGAATATTCTAAAATGCTTCGTGTGAAAATAATTTCACGGCAGGAAAAACAAGGTTAGAGAGTGAAGCCAAGGACCATGGCGACTAGAAGTATATCCTGGATTTGGTGGATTTTGTTGTTGTAATATTTATATAAATAAGAAGAGTCCCTAAATAGTTGAAGTTCTGTGTTAATTTGTGAGCAAACTGATGCTACATTTCCCCCGTAATTCATCATTATTTAAATTCAATTTAATCAAATATTTTCTTCTAAGCTACTTGCTCTGTTTAATGTAAATATTTACTAATTACCTAGCTAATTACATATTGGTTCAAATTCAAACAAAACATATTTGTAACCAAGCTGAAAACCATATTTAGATTCCCAGAAAAGCATAACTGTTTGCGCAACTAAATGACGTCTCCTCTAATGACAGTAATTTCCCTGAAAACTGGGTAAAAAGTAATAGCAATCAACACAAAAAAACTAAGTAATTTTATACACAAAAGCAGAAAACAAATCAAAAGCAGCTGTTCCACCATGACGCACACCAATAAGTAAATGTGTGGTTCTGGCTTGGGTTTACCTAAGAATTACCCCACCAAACGCAGACTTCTGTTTGATCTCTGACGTCACTGAATACCAAGCAACAGCTGGTTGTGCAGCTTTTCCAGCTTTTCACGGCCATCAGAACATTGTTAACTATAAAGAAGTCAGGTTGCTAAAGAGAAGGCATCACACTTTCAGTTTCAATCAAGCCAAGCAGACCAGAAAATCTCAGTAAAATCAAGAAATATGCGTTTTCTAATCCTGATTGTCCTGATCGCTTTGGTGGCTGTTGCTGTCGCTGAACGTCATGGAGGACCCAAGGCTCAGCTGCAGCCCAAGCCACTCGCAGGAGCTGCTCAGGATGTGGCTGTTAATGGCACCCAACCGTCCTTGAACAGCACCACCGCTGGCGCCACTGCTGATGGCACCACCGGGGAGAGTTCCACCGAAGGAACCGCCACCGAGGCCACCACCACTGGGTCCAGCCCCACTGTGGTTGCCAAAATCTAGGACTTTGCCTTTTTGGCTTATAACAACTTAACATTCATCGTATATTTATTTATATCCCATTATTTATGACTTCAAATAATAAATATGTCTAACATGGAACACAGAACTATTTTATTTAGTTTTATTTATAATATTTAATAGTTATTTAAGTAACGACTTAGATTTTAATAGTATGTAATATACTACAAAAGGCAAACATGTACATTTTTGTGAAAGGTTCAACAGCCATGTCAATCTAGACAGTTGAATGTGTGTGAACCTTAGTCTAGGTTTAAACTATTGTACTTAAAAGTAAATATAAAATATTAGTTTAAGAAATATACAAATAACTCTTTTAAACTCTGAGTAACATTGATATATTATCAATATATCAAACGATATTTTGATTCTTCAACTTTTGAACAAAATCTATCAGAATACGGACATTCAACTACTAAAATTTACGACTTCAAATGCTGTTAGTTCTAATAATAACTATATATGTCATTTGAAGTAAGAGAGGACAGTAAGTCTATGAAGACATTTCCTTGAAGTTTTGACTAATGGTATTAAACTCTCAAAAAGCTAGTTTTAAACTCGCACCAACTCTTGAAAGAATCAATATACCCGAACTCTATCCTAGACAAGGAATGGATATCCATTTAGTAGTAAAAAGGTGTTACAAGCCCAGAACAAGGAGAACCGCTTAAAGTGCCTCGGGGTGGCATTTTCCAGCATTTAACATAACTGGAAAAGTTTTGCTATTTCCCTCTCCCCCCCCCCACCACGCTGGCACTTGAACATTGGTGAAAATTAAAAGTTAAATGCGCAAAGTCAATAAAAGCCAGAAATGGTGATGGCGATACTAACAAATGGAGGGACCAAGAACGAGGCAAATCCTTTAATGCCATTCGCATTTGCATGGCAATGGAGAAGGACAACGAGAAGGCGAAGGGAATTCCATTCGAGGACAATAGCTCGCCGCCTCTTTGTGTCTTTTGTGCGGCACTTGCGACGCTTTTGCCAACTGTTTGCCGAGAGATAAAACTCGGTTGAGCGCCGCCAACTAATAAAATGCATCCCAGCAGCCATCGCTCTGGGTCCTGAGTCCTGGGTCCTGCGTCCTGCGAGTGGTTTGCGTTTTGTCTTTGCCGGCTGAGTGGCTGCGTTTGCTTTGCTAATTGATGCACTAGGCCCTGGGCTTGTGTACTCTTCAATAACGGCATCCAGTATTTGGGGATCTGGAGTAAATGTCGCCCAACTCCCCTTCACTTGTGCAGTGCAGCTGCTGGAAAATCAATTGTGTGTGGAAAATATGCCAAGCTTTTTTAATTAAAAATTGTTGAAGATCTCTCCTAAGCACGGATGGCAAACGCATTGGTCCATGGATTATTGCAAGCATTCCATGTTGGTTCAAGTTTTCTCTTTTTTCATTTTTTTTAATTGCAATTGAAGCGGCGCTCATTATACCGATAAATTTCCAATGCAAAATGAAAATTTGCATTTTAATTTGCGCAAAAAAGGGAGAGAGAGAGAGAGGGGAAAAGGAAGCACTTTCCCCACAATAAAAGGAAATTAGTTTGCCATATTTTTCACATTTACACTTTCCTCTTGCATTGAATCATAACGGGAAAGGGCAGTGCAGAGTGTGGCCAGTCCAGGAGTGTGAGGCCTGCTCTTGCAGTGTGGCCAGAGCAAACATTGAGGGTAGCAGCGCTTGCTTTTAGCTCTAATTAGTCAATTTATGTCCAATTTGCTAATTTGTGGATGCTCTGGTGTAACTCCATGGCTACAGTAACGGACAACGGACACATTTCGACATATGTATGCTGGTGCTGCTGGCCGGGCGCACACAGTGCGTATGATTAATATTTAATTGCATTTAGCCAGAGTGCAAATCGCAGATGTACACTGAGAGGAAAATAAACAGAGATTTCTTAGTAAAGAAATGGGAAACGTGTTAAATCTATTTAAACAATTTGATCTTCATCTACCAAAAGTTATTTTGATTTATTGATCAGAATTTTTGCAAAGATTAAGTTGATTTTTATGTCCAATTACAGATTGTTAGGCTATAAAAATTCCTCTCTTTGTCAATGTAGTACATGTTCTGAATAACCTGTTAAAATATGAACATTATGTATACTTAAAATCACTTTTAAATTCCACCATTCCCAAAGTGTATCCACTTTTCATATGTTTCCATTACGCATTAGAGCTTGCCATTTTCAGTGACCAATGGAAACCAAATTAAATTAACATTTACACATAAATATTGGTCCTGCAGCGAAGGACTCATAAATTGCATCCGCTTCGGACAGCTCACCCTGATGAATAACCCGCAAAAACCAATCCCCCCACTCGAATATCGAATCGAATCAAACGACAGACAAGGCCATTAGCTATATTCTCCGCCACCCATCCACCCCCATCGCCCCCTTTCCCGAAGGGGTGACAAATAGACAAATAACGCAAACGAATCAAGAGCAGCTGCTCTGTGACGCAGATGAACGCCAGATGAATGGGTTTCTCTCTGGAGAGCTTTGTGAATGGAAAGCACTTGGAGGCAAAGAAAGCACACGAGCTGGTGTCTCTGGGTTTTACCCAGCGAGGAGCGACAGCTGCGGCTTTGGAGGAAGGTGACAGTATAAAAGGGTTGTGGCGGTAGCACTAAGGCATCACAGTTTGAACTCCCCAGTTCTCAGACAGACCCAACCAAACCCAGCAACATGCGATCCTTCATCGTCGTAGTCCTCTTGGCCCTGATCGTGGTGGCAGCCGCTCAAGGACGCCCAGGAAGAGGACCTCGAGGTGGTCCAGGAGGCCCACGAGGTGGTCCAGGAGGTCCTCGAGGTGGTCCTGGTGGTCCAGGTGGTCCTGGTGGTCCAGGTGGTCCAGGTGGTCCAGGTGGTCCAGGTGGTCCTCAGGGTGGTCCTGGAGGTCCTGGTGGTCCAGGAGGTCCTCATGGCCCATGGGGTCCACCATGCAACAGCACCACCTCCACGACTACCACTACGACTACGTCGACTAGCAGCACCACGGAGGCCAGCACCAGCACCGAGGCCGCCACTGAGGACTCCACCTCCTCGGATTGAGCGATGTAACACAGCTCGAAGCCAATCTAAAATCCATTTTGGCTTGTTCTCCTCCGCTGTTCCCTGGATATTAATAAAAGTTCTTTTTCATTCCTGCAAGAAGTAAATCTTTTTCACATTTTCACAAGACAGAAAGTTACAGGGAGAGAAAAGTTTGGCCAGCAAATAATTGATAACTTTAACTGAAAACTCTTTGGCTTAGAAGCTAGTTTTCCCCTTATAATTCCTACCACGGAAAAGTCTTGATTTCTTTCAGTGATAAATGCAGGATGCCCGAGGCTAAACCAAGGGATTCCAAATCGAAATGTAACTTGTTCCAAGGCCGCTGTGGTGGCTGACAGCCCGGCGGCCATGAGATGTGACAATCGAAGGAATGGGAGGACGTCGACACACGTCCTGGAAATGAGGCTCCTCCTCCTCCTCCTCCTATGGTAAATCCCTGCTCGCCGTTGCAGTTTTTTAAACCCCATCAAAGGCAGAGTAGAACCGAAAGGCATTCTGCTGCCTCTTCTCCCAGCAATTATGTCAGTGGGGTAAAAAAAAGCCAGCTAAACACTTTATTTATGCAGTTCGCCGTCGTCGTTTGTCTTGAAAGTTTTCGCATTAAACGAGCGCCAAACTATGTGCAACTGAAAATGAGTTTTCGCTGCCAAAAAAAGAACAGGAAAAACCCTGGTATAAATACAATGTCAAGAGGAGGGAGATGGTACCAGGCAACAGTTGTCTCTTCAGGCAGGACTCCACACATTCTCGACATTCTCCTGGGGGAGATTTGTTGCTTCACCAACTTGGCTTATCCCCAAGGAGCAGGAAGTTGGAGCAAGTCCAGCTGGAGCTGCCATTGCCATGGATTTCCGCTTCACTCTCGACTAACTTTAAGCGCCTTAGCAGCAGCCATCGGCCCTTTAATATGTGAGGCAGAAATAGATCAAAAGTCAGGGAGCCAACACACACATTCGACGAGGAGTTTGGGACCAAGGCACAAGGACCCTGATCCAGACGGAGACGGTGACCCGTACGTGGATACGGTCTCGGTCTCGGTCTCGGTTTAGGACTCGGGACCCATTGGTGGCACATTTTTATTGGTCATTAGTGCGAGCCTCTATCGGCATTCGTAAGCATTTACACATCGTTAAACTTTCATTTCCGGCAAATTAAGCGCATTTTATGTACCTTCCTTCAGTTCGGTTGCCCTCAGACTGGCCCTTGTCCTCCCAGCTCCCTGCTCCCAGCTCCTCGTCCTTGCTGAACGTTGACTGGGTCACCCAACCGATGGTCGTCGGTGTCAGCAGAATGACCACAACAAATGCACACTGGGAGAAAAATGCCCAAGAACTTTTGAGATTTATTTAGGCAATGGTAAAAGATATTACCACTTTGTATATATGAACAATTGGTTAATATTCCTGATCTATATGTTTAAAATTATTAAGTAATTTATTTAAGACACTAGAAATAAGGTTATTTCCCTCAATGCAGAGGAACCCGGCTCAACCTAGGCTCGTGCCCAGTCTTGAGCATATTTAATGGACGGACAAGCAAAGGGACCCCGCCTCCGGGCGTGTTCCTTTCATTGTTTGTCTTTCAATCGAAAGTCAATAGCAAGGACTTTCCGCCATTCACATTCACCAAAGGAGTATAAAAGCAGCCGTTGCTGGCAGCTTTAGGATCCTTCTGTTCCAAGTAACATGTCATTCTGGGCAGTGAGTCGCGGCCTGACGCCACCTTCGAAGGTGGTGCCCATGCTGAATCCCAATCAGCGTCAGTTCCTGGAGGATGAGGTGCGCTACCGCGAGAAGCTGAAGCTGATGGCCCGCGGAGATGCCATGGAGGAGGTGTATGTGAGGAAGCAGGAGACCGTGGACGATCCCCTGGAGCTGGACAAGCACGATTCATTCTATCAGACCACCAAGAGTCTGCTGGTGCTCTTTCAGATCATGGGAGTGATGCCCATACATCGCAATCCGCCGGTGAAGGATCTGCCAAGGACTGGCTACTCGTGGACCTCCAAGCAGGTGATGTGGGCCGTATTCATTTACTCCTGTCAGACCACCATTGTGGTCCTGGTGCTGCGTGAGCGGGTGAAGAAGTTCGTCACCAGTCCGGACAAGCGCTTCGACGAGGCCATCTACAATGTGATCTTCATCAGTCTGCTCTTCACGAACTTTCTGCTCCCGGTGGCCAGCTGGCGGCATGGACCTCAGGTGGCCATCTTCAAGAACATGTGGACCAACTATCAGTACAAGTTCTTCAAGACCACCGGCTCCCCGATCGTGTTCCCCAATCTGTATCCGCTCACCTGGACGCTGTGCGTCTTCTCCTGGCTGCTGAGCATCGCCATCAATCTCTCGCAGTACTTCCTGCAGCCGGACTTTCGGTTGTGGTACACCTTTGCCTATTACCCCATCATTGCCATGCTGAATTGCTTCTGCAGTCTGTGGTGAGCCACGGATCGGTTATCCTAATTAAGTCCCTTACCTTACCTTACTCCTCACCCTTCCCCCAGGTACATCAATTGCAATGCCTTTGGCACCGCCAGTCGCGCCCTCTCCGATGCCCTGCAGACCACCATCCGGGGCGAGAAGCCCGCCCAGAAACTGACCGAGTACCGCCACCTTTGGGTGGATCTCAGCCACATGATGCAGCAACTGGGACGCGCCTACTCCAACATGTATGGGATGTACTGCCTGGTCATCTTTTTCACCACAATCATTGCCACATACGGAAGCATCAGCGAGATCATCGACCATGGAGCCACCTACAAGGAGGTGGGACTCTTCGTCATCGTCTTCTACTGCATGGGTCTGTTGTACATCATCTGCAATGAGGCTCACTATGCCTCGCGGAAGGTCGGACTCGACTTCCAGACCAAGCTGCTCAACATCAACCTCACGGCCGTGGATGCAGCCACCCAGAAGGAGGTGGAGATGCTCCTGGTGGCCATCAATAAGAATCCGCCCATTATGAACCTCGATGGCTACGCGAATATCAATCGGGAACTCATCACCACCAACATCTCCTTCATGGCCACGTACCTGGTGGTGCTCCTCCAGTTCAAGATCACGGAGCAGCGGCGGATTGGACAGACGCCGGCGTAGTTCTTTGGAATATTTAATGTATTTAAATGTATTTCGATTAAAAATAATATTTCTTGAGGTTTTCTGGCATGATATAATTATAACATATTTCTATAATTGTATCATGCTTTTAGGTTTTGTTGTTTCAATAACAACAGATTTTTCCCTGTATAAATTTTCTGCTTCTAAAAGGGAGAAATTTATTTAATTAATAATACTTAAAAAGGGTGGAAATTTCTCTCTATTTAATTAGTATAAAAATCATATAACATACTATATACATATACATATAACATACTATCTTTGAAAGTAGTAAACTCTTCAAGAATTTTAGAAGATGTCTACCTTTGGCCTTCTGTTGAGTTAACTAATCAGTATTTAACCGCGTGAAGGCTTTTAACTCTTACCTTTATTTAAGTTAACTAATCAGTATTTAATGCCATGGAGGCTTAGTATTTTCTGCTTCAAAATTCAATGAAAAAAAAACAAAAAAAATTTATTTAAAAAATACAAAATCCTTTGTTTCCTGATCTCCAAGAAATGTGCCATCGCCGGAACCCGGACTACAGTGGCAACACCTACCTGGGCCTGCACTTGGGCACCGAGAAATTCCGCGCTTTGATTCTCGACCACAACCTGAAGCCGCAATACTTTTCCCAGGTGCGCTACGATGCGGATTTGCCGGAATATGACACCAAACATGGCACCGTGAAGGATGGCGGCCCCATGGAGTTCCTCGCCAATCCCGTGATGTGGGTGAAGGCAATGGATATGGTTCTGAACAGCCTGGAAACGCAGGGTGCGGACATGCATTCGATAGTGGCTGTATCGGCGGCTGGCCAGCATCATGGTTGCGTCTTCTGGTCGGCGCTTGGATTGCGCAGGTTGTGCAACCTGAAGCCCGGACTCCGTCTATTTGAGCAACTGACGGACAGCGCCTTCGAGCTGACCCGGACCCCCACCTGGCGTGACAACTCCGCGGACAAGGAGGTGCTTGAGATGACGAATGCGGTGGGGGGTGCTGCCGAGATGTCACAGATTACCGGTTCCCGGACATATGCCCGGTTTACGGGTCCCCAAATCCGGAAGATATTTTCCCGATGTCCCGAGCACTACGCCCGCACGCAGCGGATCTCGCTGCTGAGCAGCTTTGTGACATCGGTGCTCATCGGTGGCATGGCCGCCATCGGAGTCTCCGATGCTTCGGGAATGAACCTCATGGACTTGCGTCGGAAAAAGTGGTCGAAAAAGTGCCTGGATGCCTGTGCCCCCGATCTGGCGAGGCGCCTGAGCAAGCCGGTTGCCTCGTCGCGTCTCCAGGGACACATCGACGACTACTTCGTGAAGCGTTGGAACTTTCGACCCGATTGCATGGTTCTCTCTGGCACCGGGAGCAAGGGTGCCGAGCTAGCCGGTGTGCTGGTGGAGAAGGATTTCATTGTGATTTCGCTGGATGTCAGCGATACGATTACCATGCCCCTCGCCGATGCCCCGCATCTGGAGGAGGGTCATGTGATGCGTCACACCACCCGGCCGAATGAGTTTATGGGCGTGCTCTGCTTCCGAAATGGTCTGGTGGCCCGCACCATCGTTTGCAACGAGGTGGCGAAGGGGAATTTTGAGCAGTTCTATGCGATGCTGGATGCCACGCCCAAAGGCAACAATGGCAACTTGGCTGTGCACTTTTACGATCGAGAGATCCTGCCTGTAACCATGGGCGTCCTGCGCTGGGATCCCACCATGGACAACCTAAAGCAGGAGTGCGTGCGAGGTGTCCCAAACTTTGAGACGCCGGAAATAGAGGTGAGAGCTCTCCTTGAGGGCCAAATAATCCACCATTGTGCCATTTCCCGCGAGTTGGGCTTCGGCTTGGGCCCGGACACCAAGATCATTGTGGTGGGCGACGATGCCAATTATCCCAACCTGCTGCAGATCGTGGCCGATGTCTTCAACGCGCCCGTGTACAAGCGAACCGGGCCGGAGGTCTGCCTCCTGGGCAGCGCTTTCCGGGCTCGGTATGCCTTCTACGAGCACAGGGAGACGGCCTGCAGCTGCCAATCCTGTCGGCAGAGGAGCTGCCGGGAGCCGAGATTGAGCTTCGATGAGTTCTTCCGCAACGTTCCCTCCGGATTGAGTCTGGCAGCGGAGCCGGATCCCGATAGTGTCAAGATCTACGCCCCACTCTTTGGACGCATCTCGCAGATGTGCCAACTGATGGGGGCCCAGGCGGCCCTGTTTGTCGAATCTCAAATGAAATTGTAGGGTGTATTTATTGAGATGGGTTTCTGGTATGTGATTTCTTCCTCCTCCTTCTACGAAAAAATATAATAAATGTAACAAAAACGTGGCTAGGTCTAGAGGGTAAGGCTAGGACTGGCTCTAGAAGTCGGCATCCCAACCGGAGAGCTCGTCCGGCGGCTCGTTGGGATCGCAGGGGAAGCGGTCAAAGTATCGCACATCCGTGGGATGTGCAATTGGTCGCACGAAGGGCGGGATCAGAAGCTGGCTGGTCAGGCCGTCCCAATCGAAGCCCAGGAACCATCTGAAAGGGGGAAGATATACATTTTAGATATAAAAGTTTTAAATATGTAAAAATATTATGATGTATAGGATAAAGATGATATAGGATAAAGATAGGATAGGATATGTGACTTTAGTGAAAGGGAAATTGGTTTCATATTCCAAAAAACAATATTATACACTAGATATATCGAGATTTTCTCTGATCTGGTTGTACCCACTTGTGCTTTTTAATGTCCTGAATGCCTCCCGTTTGGTAGCCAAGCCGCTCCGAGGGTACATCACGACAGAGACGCTTGATGAGCTGCACCGCCCAGCGGGACATGTGCTTGGGAAAGTTGATCATGTCGATGCCCTTAAGGATGAGGTTGTATGTCTGCATGGGATCAGGGGCACTAAAGGGAGGACTGCAGAATAGGAAGAATTAATATAAATACTCTAATTCGAAACCTAGAAAACACTTACGTCCCGTTCAGCAGCTCGTGGATGAGGATTCCCAGGGCCCAGTAGTCCACAGCCCGGTCGTGACCCTTGTTAAGGATGATCTCTGGTGCCACATACTCAGGCGTACCGCAGAAAGTCCACGTCTTGGCACTAGTGCCTATTTGTTTGGCAAAGCCAAAGTCCACGATCTTGACATAGCCACGCTCGTCCAGCATCAGGTTCTCGGGCTTCAGATCCCGATAGATGATGCCGCGGGCATGGAGGTACTCAAAGGCCTGCAGCACGCAGCCGATGATGAATTGGGCGGCATTGTCCTCGAAGGAGCCTCGGTCGCGGAGCATCGTCCAGATCTCGCCGCCCATGCAGGCCTCGAGCAGCATGTAGACGTACTTCTCGTCCCTGAAAGTGCGGTACAGGCGGCAGATGAACGGGGACTTGGAGCTGAGCATGATGTGGCGCTCGCTGTAGATGTGCTCCTCCTGCTTGGTGTCCACAATGTGTCGCTTCTTCAGGCACTTCAAGGCGAAGGTATCGATCCTGTTCTGATGATGGGCCTTGACCAGCTCCACCCGGCCAAAGCCCCCGATGCCCAGGGTGCTGACAACCTCGAGATCCGTGAGCTTGAGGTCGGGGAACTCCTGCTGCAGCTGCTGCTGCTGCTGCTCCTTGGCCTCCTCGCCGTCTGGGCTGTGCTGGGCCTGCTTCATGGCCAGCATGCGGCTCTCATCGCCATAGTCCTTCTCCTTCAGCTCGCAGAGATCCCCAATGAGACGCTTGAAGGAGTCCCTGTCCAGGGTGAGGCACTCTACGCCCGGCGGAAGGGCAATGATATTTGCCGTCCGCTTGTCCTCATTGATCAGCGCCTGCTCGCCGAAGTAATCTCCTCGGGCCAAAGTCCTTAGCTCCGTCTCCTCCGCAGACGAAGGCGTCAACTTCTGGGTCACCCGGACATTGCCCTGCGAGATCAGGAAGAAGCTGTCGCCGGCAGTGCCCTGACGGATGATGTAGGTGCCGGCGGCATAGAACTCCAGCTCCAGGACATCCGCTATCTTGGCCAGCAGCTCCTCGCTGAGATTTCTCAGCAGCGGCACTGAGCGCAGGAAGTTCACACTATTCTCGATCCGCTGCAGACCCGTGCACATCATAATCTGCTGGAAGACCCGACGATCGAGCACCCAAACACGTGCCGCCTCGCTGAGGACCCTTATGGACGCCGTCCTGGTGCAATTGTATAGGATTGCCAGCTCTCCGAAGGCCTTGCCCGGCCCCATCTTGTCCAGCACCTTGCCCTGCTGCATCACGGCGAATTCCCCAGCGGCGGAGACGTACAGATGGGCGCCCACCTCGCCCTCTCGGATCACAAACTCACCGGCGGCAATGCTCTTGGAGTACATGGAGTCCACCAGTTCGCGCACCTGCGAGGCATCGATGTTCTTGAGGAAATCATTGTCCATAATGGCATCTTTGATCTGTTGCTTGTCACTGTAGGAAGGACATAGATTAGCGGAGCTCTGAGATCCCTTCAAACTAACTGGAAACCCACCTGAAATCCTTGTCGTACTTGGGTATGGGTATGCTGTAGGACTGCTGCATGGACTGAACGCAGCTCTCGGCGGAGACACCCTGCTTCTTAATGGCCGCCGGTATAGCCTTGGGTCTTAGCTCCGCCGCTGGAACTTCCAATGAAGTAGTAGCTTCTGTTGGGGAAGGAGAAGGCGTTCCAGGGGATGAGCCTGAGGAGCTCCCTGCCGTCGCCGTCGTGGGCAGCGGACTCAAAGAGAGCGCCTCCATGGCATAGGCCGGACTGGAGGGCAGCACCATGCCGCAGGATCCACAGACATGGGGATCCTTGCCCTGTTCCTGCTCCCCGCACTGCTCTGGCAGAGAGTAGAGCTTGGTCTTGGACTGCTGCCGAGTCACGTTCAGGTTTTTGGTGGTCTGCTCCAGCACGCTCTGTGGAGAGAGGAGGAAGAGTCAGAGATGAAATCAATTCTGCATGAGATTCCCAATTGGGAGGCAATCAATTGCCGGGTCGTCGTCATCGCGTGATTCCCCAGACAGATTGTCAATCGCGATTCCAATTCAATTAGGGGAAGATGAAGATGACCTACTGCGGGCACTGGCATTCACGTGCTTTTCCGATGACGAAAGCACAGAGATCAGAAAGGGAAAGATTTTAAAAAGAGTAGAAAATTGTTTAGTTAATTCGAAAACCATAAAGGATTTATAAAAAGTCGGAAGCTTGAAAAACATTGAAGGAGTCATTTCCGACCCTATAAACCATATGTATTCTTGATCAGCATCAACAGGCGAATCTTTCTAGCTATATCCGGGGAAAACAATTTTTTTTTCAGAAATTTCCCATTTTCTGAAAAAAAGGAAAGGGGTTACATCATTAAAATTTGGAAAAATCGGCCAAAAATTCATATTTTAAATGGAGTATGCAGTTTTATTAACCTGCTAAAAATTAACATACGAACACTTTCCGAATTAAAATTAATGCATTTTTGGCTTAGTTATGAGTTTTTTAAACTTTGATTAGTTGATAAAAATTGTCATATAAAAATATCAATAAATATTGATTTAAAGTCTGAAACATTAAGCTTAGTTGCGATCGCTTTCCGATACTATCTTATAATTTAATTGCAAACTTCGACTTGCCGAAGATAGTTTCCTTGTTTTCAAACTATTTCCTTTACCTCCTGAAATATCACATTATTTATGTTATTTGTATTGAAAATTTCCAATTCATACCCAACTTTACCCTCTGTGTAGACCCTTCCCTAAACTTTCTTATCACAAATCCGCAAATAGAATGCTAAATTCTTTTATTTTTTCCCGGCGTTGACCCAAAAAACAGCATAGATAAAGCCTAAACAAAAGCCAAGACCGCTCTTGAGGGGCCTCTCCCCTTAGTGTGTAAGTGGAGCTAGTCATAGCCCCAGTTCCAGTTCCACTGCCAGCTCCACCTCCGCCTTCCGTCGAGTGTAAACAAAGATAAGCCGAATGTCAGGGCGAGGTGTTACCACCTCTCGCCCCCGTCTCTGGTATCCCCCAGCCGGGCTTTGCTTGTTTTCCAAATTATTTGCATAGAAATTAGCATCGAAAGAAAAAACACTTTGTATTTCCTTTCGCTCTTTTTGGGGATCTCTGCGATCTCTGTTTTTCGAGATGCGCGCGTGCTGCCCGGGGTCGGAACTATCTATGTTTGTATCTGAGAGATACAAAAGGGGTTTTGGAGAGGGGATTGGGAGGGAGTATCAACTGCCCCGAGATGGAGGTGATTCGACAATTAGCGATGCACACTCTACGGAATGAGTATCAAAGAGGTTTTACAGCTTCTGTAAAAATAGCTCTCTGCCTGGGGAAAATTTCCACCAAAACAGAGGTTTGGATAAATCTGTAGTTTGTTTTGGGTCTCTTTAAATCTGTCACTTTAGACTTCTGTAGATGTCAAGGGAATATAAGAAGTCTTAAGATCTCATTAGATCTCTCTATGTCTTTATAGGGTCTCTCTATTATTATTTTAGGTGTTCTTAGATATATAAAGATCTCTTTACATATACTTAAGTCTTTAGATCCTCTGTCTTTCCAGGGCCTTCTAGGTTTGTCTCTAGATCTCTGTCTAGATCTAGTCTTCAGATTTCTCTCTGATCCTCTTACACCTGAAACTTTATCTCCAAGAAAATCAATCTACTAAAATCCCATATATGTTTTCTTTTAGATTATAAAGCTTCTTCCGTTTATTATGATATTTCTACCCTGTTGTGATAATGGAAATCACAGTTTATATGATTTATACGATCTAGATGTCTGCGAAGAGCTAGAACATTGCAGCTTTATCGCTTTATAGACCCCCAATTAATGGGATAATTGAAATTAAATGATTTTTCGGCTTCTGAAATTTCCTCAATTTCAACACGGAAAGTATCTCTCAGTCGCGAGACTCGCTCGCTCTCTACCTCGCCACACTTCTCCTCCTGTCCGAGGCAGAGGCTATAAAACCGACTACGAGATCTCGCTCAAAAGTGCTAATCACTTGGCTCAATAAATCTGTCTTACAATTTAAATACGAGTCGTCGGAGGAGGCGGGAGACAGAGGGAGGGAGATCCAAGTACGAAGGCCTGGGCCTAGGCCAGAGCAGAGCAGAGCGTTAGATAGATACGGATATCTCACAGATACAGATACGGCGGCAAGGGCACGGGTTAGGTGGGAGTGGGCACAACTAGGGGTTCCGCGGGGTGTATCTGATATCTGGGCAGCAGCGTCTGAGATAACGATAGCCGAGGGCGGCGTGTCTCTGTTTGCAGATACTTTTGTATCTCTGCGATACACAAAGCGAATTCGAAATTAGTCCGAAAAAAATAATAGAAGCCAGAGCGTTCCAGTGGTGGCAGTGGCTCCAGCTTATCACTGCTGCCGGAGCAAACAATGGCGATGCCATAGACAGCGATGGATGGATGGGTTAGGGTATCCCCAAAAAATGCTTGGAATCGATGAATGGGAGTGGGTTTATGGGTATGGTTATGGCTATGCAGGAGTAACCTCTCACCTTCAGCTTGTGTATCTCCCTGTGCAGCTTGACTAGCTCACTTTCCCTGCTGCGCACCATCTCCTTGAGCGCCAGGACATCCCTGGTTAGATTGCTAACGATCGCCTCACGCTCCCGGTCGGTCATCATTGCATTGGCCATGTCTCTGGTCGTACTCCTCTTCCACCTGTTAAGTGAGCCTTGTCCCAGCTCGGGCTATATTCCATTCAGACGCTGTGGTCTTCCGCTGCAGCTCGCTGGCGGTGGGGTTTCGCGCGCGCGATTCGTTAGCGACTGTCCGTGGTGATCAAAGCGCGTTCTACGCGGCGTATACGTGATTTATCAGAGAGACAGAAAGAGAGCCAAAGAGCATGCCATATCAGTGCCCAAAGAGAGCGATCAGCTGAAGAGAAAGAGAAAGAAAGAGTGTAAGAGAGCTGCAGAAGCCCGCAAATTAAATTTGGCTTTAGCTGAAAGCGAAACCCAAAACAAAAACCAAGCCACAAAAGCCCGGGCGTAATTTGATGATGACAGCTACGACGACATTCAGCCAGGCCAAGGGGGAGGGAAAGGGGCAGGAGCAGGGGCAGGGGCAGGGGCATGAGCAGGGGCAGGGTTAGAGGGGGGTTTAGGGAAAGCAGCAGTAAAATGGTGGGCAAGGGCAGCTGCTCGTCCGGAGCATAAAAATGAAAATGAAAATGAAAATGCGCAAAGCGAAATGGCAGCCAGCAGATATGAAAACGAAAGCTAAACGAATCAGCGGACAGGGGCAGCAGAAGGATGTAAAGGCCAGGATACGGGCAGCCAGGATGTGGTGGACCAGAGAGCAGAGAAGGCAGAGGCAGAGGGGCAGAAGGGCAAACCAGCTCACAAGGTAGACAGAACAAGGCTTAAGCCAACCAACTACAGGGAAAATTATGTAAATACTTTTATTTCTTGCAGTTCTTTATTAAAATATATTAAAATAAGGTTTAAAGAGATATATATAGAGATTATATATACATTTATTTCTTAAAAAAACTTTTAAGATAAAGAAATCTCTAAAATATTAATATATTATTTATATATTTTATATATAATACTTTGCTGTAAACTATTAATTCTAAGGGAATATATTAACGAAATAATTTATTTCATGAAGCTGAAGAGCCTATATAAACTTAAGTCCTTCTTTCATGAAGAAAGTCTTTTAACTTCATATTTATTAATTAAAGACTCACCTCTTCTTAATCTTTAGCTAATATACTATAATATTACTAATACATACACTCATTTAAGAAAACTAAATCATTCTGATTTCTAATTCTCCCCTTTAAAATCCCTCAAATAACTCAAAATATGAGGAGCACTAAATCGCATATAATCCCCTGAAAATCTCTGATAAAATCTCTTCAAGAAATCTCCTTTAAATTTGAAATTGAATTTCATTTCATTTCTTCAATTTAAGTTTTCGCTGAATCGTTCGCAGTGGAGGCCAGAGGAGGAGTTTCGCTGTAGTTCCGGAATAAAACTGCTTTACAGCCATAATAGAATTATAGTGGCCAAAAACTATGAAGCAGGCAGCCCAAGCACAGCTTTAACTCTCTATTTTTTGTGGTTTTTTTCTGCGTTGTCTGCTGGAAGCGAGGCCACGGATTTCGCTAGAATTCAGTGGCTTCACTGGATTCTCACTGGCTGCTGCCGGCGGTGGGCCACATTTAATGGAGACTCGCGTCGCATTCCGGACACCGAGACAGTGATATATCTCGAAAAAGAACAGGGAGAGTGGAACGTGACAGCCTGAGGGGGGCAAAAGTCGCAGCCCAGACAAAGGAGCAGGAGCAGGAGCAGTAGGCAGAAGGAATCCCAACCACAGACGCAGAACTGAAGGATTAGCCGGAGCTCAAAGGTGGAAGCGGCATAGCGTCACACGGGGCGTATGCGCAATGATGCAGCAAATGATCTATTAAAGCATTGACTGGCGGCAGGAGGGCCTAGCTCACTACCTTGGCTTTCGAGCCAAGATAAATTAATGCTCAGGCCCGAAGTGACTGCCAGCTCGTCACTCACCTCAGCAGGTGAGGGAGGAAGGAGACTGGAACCCGGCCCAGAAGCTGCTCAAAACTTTGACATGCTGCGGTAATTATCTGCAGGGACTGATGCTTTGCCCTGCTCTGCTTCTCTCCAGCACCAGACACCAGCCTTCCCTCAGTCATCCCAAGATTGACCCCCATGGCTGGAAAGGAAACTTAACGTCAATCCCGCAGAGCACGCTAATTAATGGACGCTAATTCCTGATGGCTGGGGGATTCCCCGCTTATCATAAAAGTTTTTGTCGCGCATTTAAAAACAGAAGCCGAGAGCTGGAAGCTAAGACAACAGTTTGCAAATAAATACTAAAGTCAAGGGAGGGGTCAGACAACGTTTAAATGAAACTATTTCCAGGGATTTCCCTGACAGCAGTAGTTATTAGTTTTTGAAATTGAACAGAAAACTGAAAACATTTAAAATTGCAACTACATTTCGGAAGTATTCATTAAGCAAAGAGTTTTGCATAATAGTTGATGCAAAAGTTTAATTGCAAACTAATTGATTGCAGCTGCCGGAAGCGCCTGTAGCTTCCAACTTAATTATTCCCAGTTAAAGGGAAAGCATTTCCTGACTTTTCCCAGCACCAATTTCCCTGAAACCTCTCACGTCTCAGGGCAGGATTAGCAACAGGATGCGGATTTCCAGACAGGAGACCAATGCCAATCATTGCGAGGATTTGTTTCGCCTGCCAATATTTGCATAATGGATAAGATATCGCATGTCACAGATTCCGCAGATCCGTGATTCGCTTTCGCCTCATTCCTCTTTGTCTCTGTCTGTCAATGGGGGAATGGAAAGCCACAGACAGAAAAACATCACCACAAAAGTGTCATCAATTCTCGGTATTTCCCTTATCTGTTACTCTTTTTTCTCTGTGTGAACGAACTAGTGGGAAAGTAAGGAAAAAAGCCATTCGGCAGGGGGACAAATCAAGTGGCAATCTGTGGTTATGAGCGGGTTCCCATAAACATTTCCAAAAACCCGAATCCTGAACCCCTATCCCTATGCAGATCGTATGTAAATGCGAGGCTTAAGCAGGCTTTTTTGTTTCCCGGGAATGATGAGGGAGTGAAGGGAACAGGAGAAGGAGGAGCAGGAACAGGAGCAGATGACAACTAGGACATCACTAGGGATGTACATATATTGACCTCTGATAAGAGGTGCGATTTGATATATCGAAAGAACGAAAGCGCTTTATATTATATAGCAAGTATTGAAAGGTTCTAATATCACAAAAATAAAATTATGATATATTAAAACCCAAAGTATTCAATAAGTTGTATAGTTTTATAATAGTTTAAATCAAATTTAGGCTTGTTGTAAATATTATATTATCAATATATTATACATATATATATATTCTATCATCTCTAACCAGCTTACAACAAGAGAGAGGTTACAATGGCAGTGCCAACATGAGATAAACGAAACCAATTTTTTACATTATTTTATTCCATTGCGAGTGGGCAAGGAAAGACTCTACCACACCCCATTTCCGACTTCTCCTACTGTAAGCCGACTCCCCTCTGGGGATCGCTGCCATATCTTATCGCCTTATCATCAACACAACACAACACAACATAACATTCGTTCGTGTAGTTATTCAATTAAAATCGGTGAATCCACTCTCCCTCCTTCCAGTTGCTGCCGTGGCGGAAAGGCCAAAGTGTACGCTGGGGATTAATTCGGGACACGGCGGACCAGGTGGATGGAATGGAAAGGTCCTTGTAGCTGCCATTATCTTTGGCTTTGGCCTGGCGAGGACTTGACCTGCCAGGCCTGGCAGCCATTCATCCTCGGCCTTTGTTGTTGGTGTTCTCCTCGCATTCGTATCGCAGTTATTGCCTTTGTGGGCTGCCCATTAAATCGAAGGGTTTTTATGGAAGCATTTCCGACTAACGGAAAATAGCAAATAATATTAACTAAAAGAGTGCTGGGAATAATACCAAAGAATCAGCATAAAGTAATTTTCATAGGTAACTCATGCGTCGACTCCCTCGCTTTTCCGGAGTCCTTTTGCCTCGTCCTTTGTTCGTTTTTTGTGCCTGTTTTATCCCCGGCAAGATAAATGTAACATGTTTGCTTTGCCACAACAACAGAAAAAAAGTAAGGGAAAAAGAATGAAATCCCTGCCCCCTTCACCACGCCTCCTGGAATAATAAACCATCAGCGGACAATGCATCATGTGGTGGGCAGGGGCAGGTCAGGTGGCCACCGGATAATTCCATGGGCAGGACCCTCCATGTTCCGGCTAATTCTCCGATTCCGATTCTGATTTTCCGCCTGCTTGTAATGGAGATCTCGTGGAAATGCTGCCGATGTCCTCACACATCCAAAGCCAAGCAGCTGGAAAATGAATGAAAAGTTCCATTACTTACCGAAAACTTTTTCACTTTGCCTCTCGCATAATGGCAATGGTGCCTGCAAGGAAACGCACAGGCACGCCTCTCCCGGATTGCTTTCCCCACCCCAGGATGGGGGTAGTATCCTGGCAAGAATCCCTTCTTATGCATAGTCTCGGGATGCATGCCTCCTTGGCCCTTTCTTTCGTCCATCGGTCCTTCGGACACACGAAAATGAAAAGAGCACCGAAATTTGTTGCAGATAAATTTAGATTTTCCAACTGGTTTAAGGGGGCAAAAACGAAACACTTGCAGAAAAATACTGGTGTGTAATGGAAAATTTAATTAAATATATTAAATGATTTTAGGTGACGGGACTAGAGTGTGTATTTTACGATTATAATATCTTTAATCCTAATAAGGTTCATGGTAGAACAAGAAAGAAAACTAGCTTCGAACTATTAGCGACCATAACTAAGCTTAGATATTCGCATTCTTTAAATCGATATTTTGTAATATTTTTAAATGAAAATTTTATGAAAAATCAAAATTTAACAAGAAAGGAAGCTAACTTCGGCACGCCGAAGTTTATATACCCTTGCAGATAGAACTTCTATGAATAAAAAACCATACAATACAAATTATATATCTTTGTGTTAAAAAACAATGAAGTAAGTAATACCTGCTTTCATTTCATTCACCTATACATATTATATTTGCAGTTTTACATTCACTGATTTGCATTTTTCCTCCACATCAAACGATCGTTTGTATGGCACCTATATGATATAGTCGTCCGATTTTCATGAAATTTACCACAAAATTTAAGACTTAAATTAAATGCCTATACCTAAAATTTGATGAAAAT